CACCTATTTCCTGGTTTTTATTTGCCGTTAAGTCGTGATTTATGTGTCATCCTGAGGGTTGTTGAGCATCCGGCCTCAGGCCAGATGAACCATCTGTCCCAGCCGCCTCCAATTGTTGGTAAATTGTGGTTTCTGGCCTGCTGAGTGGACTGTTTCAGGCTGACAGGGTCTGTCAGACCTCTGCTCTACTGTTTGTTGGTTCAGTGCGGTTTCTGAATTACAGAACAGATACATTTGGGCCAAAACACACAGAACATCACAATATTCTGAGGATAATGGTGAATGAGGAAATTGATGGCAAGTGTTTTGCTGTGTCGAGCTGTGTGAAATGCATGCGTTTGGTGTAGTGCAACAATTTCCTGTGTAATAAAATGCAAGTATTAATGGGTCGGCGTTTGCAATGGTGATCACACGGGTACATCCATTTTCTACACTCGACCTGTAAACTGCATTAGAGCTTCTCTAATGGAGATTTTACAGCAACACGCAGATGTGTCACAGTGGGAATAACTGCCCTCTATATTATTTAGTAATTTTCATACTGCTGTAGCTTATCAGTGGCTCCTAAAGTGGCACCTTTTTGTTTGAAGAAGTTTAATCTCTGTATATTTCAACCCATTCTAAACCACTTTGTCATACAGTAAATACAGAATGGGAAAACATAATATAAAAATGTCACTGTATCATTTCCACCAATGAAAACAAATTTAACAGCTTCTCCAACGACACTTTTGATGGTCTCATTTAGCCAGCCCATTCTGAATAAACTCTTGTTATCCTGTGAACATTTGTGAATCCATTAGAGGACTGCAAATATGCACATTTGTTCAAGTACACTTATGAGATACTTGCATATTGCTTTTCGTTTTCTGCTGCTTTGTACTTCCACTCTGTCTTTTTGATGAGGGATATTGTATGTTTTAACTCCTCTCTTTTCTATGTGACAGAGTTCATTTAAAGATGAAGATTTTATGTAAAGAACTAAAGACTAAATTACCATATTGAAACTTTATCCACCTCAACCCACTAAAATTTCAGAAAGTATTAAGGTGCATAAAACAACAACAACAACAACAACAATAATAAAATTAAGATTTGCACTAACCTGCCACTTTATTAGGTACACCTGTCCAACTGCTCGTTAACGCAAATTTCTAATCAGCCAATCACATGGCAGCAACTCAATACATTTAGGCATGTAGACATGGTCAAGACGATCTGCTGCAGTTCAAACTGAGCATCAGAATGGGGAAGAAAGGTGATTTAAGTGACTTTGAACATGGCATGGTTGTTGGTGCCAGACGGGCTGGTCTGAGTATTTCAGAAACTGCTGATCTACTGGGATTTTCACACACAACCATCTCTAGGGTTTACAGAGAATAGTCCGAAAAAGAGAAAATATCCAGTGAGCGGCAGTTCTGTGGGCGCAAATGCCTTGTTGATGCCAGAGGTCAGAGGAGAATGGCCAGACTGGTTGGAGTTGATAGAAAGGCAACAGTAACTCAAATAACCACTCGTTACAACTGAGGTATGCAGAATAGCATCTCTGAACGCACAACACGTCGAACCTTGAGGCGGATGGGCTACAGCAGCAGAAGACCACACCGGGTGCCACTCCTGTCAGCTAAGAACAGGAAACTGAGGCTATAATTCACCCAGGCTCACCAAAATTGGACAATAGAAAATTGGAAGAACATTGCCTGGTCTGATGAGTCTCCATTTCTGCTGCGACATTTGGATGGTAGGGTCAGAATTTGGCGTCAACAACATGAAAGCATGGATCCATCCTGCCTTGTATCAACGGTTCAGGCTGGTGGTGGTGTGGTGGTGTAATGGTGTGGGGGATATTTTCTTGGCACACTTTGGGCCCCTTAGTACCAATTGAGCATTGTGTCAACGCCACAGCCTACCTGAGTGTTGTTGCTGACCATGTCCATCCCTTAATGACCACAGTGTACCAATCTTCTGATGGCTACTTCCAGCAGCGCATCTCAGACTAGTTTCTTGAACATGACAATGAGTTCACTGTACTCCAATGGCCTCCACAGTCACCAGATCTCAATCCAATAGAGCACCTTTGGGAAGTGGTGGAACGGGAGATTTGCATCATGGATGTGCAGCCGACAAATCTGCAGCAACTGCGTGTTGTTATCATGTCAATATGGAGCGAAATCTCTGAGGAATGTTTCCAGTACCTTGTTGAATCTATGCCACGAAGGATTAAGGCAGTTCTGAAGGCAAAAGGGGGTCCAACCCGGTACTAGCAAGGTGTACCTAATAAAGTGGCCGGTGAGTGTATTTATATAGTACTTTTTGAAACAATGTTACAAAGCGCTTCACAAACAATTAAAAGCAACCAAAAATCTGGGATAATAAAGGTACAAGGTTCTTTAGTAACACTTTGCAACAAGGGACAGACATTTTCAGTAGTTACCTGCAGAATAAATGAGTGTGTTAGTTAACCATTAGCTAATGAGTAACTCCTCATAACTCCTAATAAAATTTTATATAGTAGGTACGGATTGGCAATGAATATTTAACAAAGAAATAGTGATGGATGAATTGATGGTCAGAGAATTGTTACTAAGTCCTGAAAAATCTATAGATTATATAGGACTACATAATAGACAATGATGAATTACAAACAGTCACAGTGGAAAACACAATATTAATGTATCATTATCATTGTTAAGTTAATGAATATCTGTGAATCACACTGACCTCTTTACTCTCCTTGTTTCCCCTCAAGCAAAGTAGAGCATTATGTAAGATGCCCCACTTTGCTTGAAGGCATACAAATTCATCATAAAATAAAGATGAAGTTATGAGGGAATCCTTACTCATTGTTATTTATCACGACTTGAAATGCACATGATAAAATAACTAATCTTTAAATGATAAATAATGAATGAGTCTTTCCTAAATGTATTATGTTCATTGACTGGTTGGGAGTTCATCAATTTTATCCATGAACAGGGTTTGCATGATTGATTCACAGATAGTCATTCACTAATAATAATATAATATTATTAGGTAATATGGGACCTGTTAGCCTCGTTGGTCAACTAGCAATTTATTCCTCATGTGTTCGCTGGTAACTACTCAAAATTTGTGCACCATATTGTAAAGTGTTACCAAGCAGCTGTACCTCATATATATAGAAAACAAACTTAATTACAAGCGTTACAAATTGTTAGAGAGGTAGGCTAATAATATACCCACACAATTTTGAGAGTCTTTCAAGGGGTTAATCTATGAAACAAAAAATAGCAAATACTTTTTTGTATTTTTTTTGTAACATGCATAAGTGTAACAGTCTAACATTTTGGGGAACAGGCCTCCTCTAATATGGGCTAAGACGCCCTCCATGTGTATCACTGATACATTGTATTCACCATATCTAATACAGTACCATAATAGTTAGCAGTAACATAATAGTTACAGTATAAGAAAGGTGCTGTTATTATCTGTTAAAAAGGCTAACTAGTTGACTTTATGTTGAGATAATAGCTTTATGCTATATTAGCTTGCTTTAGCATGAGCTTGCTAGCTTGAATTCTAAACATCCCTGTTAATTTGATGCAATTTTTATGTCAGGAATTTTATGAGCAGTGGTACACTAATTGTAAAGTTAGTCTCTCATTATGATTCAAACCGTTTAGAGATTTTTTTATTATGTAATGTGTATGCATTATGCAACATTTATGTTGCAGATAAACTAAGCGCAACATCAAACATTGAACCTAAAGTTAATCTTATACACAAATAACAAGCTACTCTGCAACACTTGTATGGAGTTACTCATTAACTAGTGGTTAACTAGCAGTTAAGTCCTAAGTTGTTCCTTAGATAGACAGAAAGAAACATTATTGATTCTTTGCTTTGATACAGCAGCAACAATCACAGATAAGAACCCACATCTAACACTTAACATAAAACAGTTTTGGCATAAAAACTCTTCACAAAAGTGCTAAGACCTACTGAGAAATGAAAGCATGGTAATAAGAATATTTTTTAAATGCAATGTGCAAAATATACCAATATATATGCAGTACGCAAAACTTTTTAATGTAAAAAATATAGTGTACAAAATGGCTTGTGACATATATAAAAAATACGGATTCAAATTATATGACTCAAATTACATTTTTTATTTCAGTTATTCGAGCTGAGCAATACAAACTCAAATGCTGTGATTCAGTTTCTAGTTAGACTGATTTGCTTCTTTAGGTTAAATTATGCAGATGTATAGAAACCATTGCACGCTATTTTTCATATCCCATAGCTGGTTTAAAATAGGGGAAATGGGGGAAAAGAGAATTTCTTCATATTGACTATCTATCTATCTATCTATCTATCTATCTATCTATCTATCTATCTATCTATCTATCTATCTATCTATC